TGTCCTTTAATTGGAGAAAACTCCCTACGCACCCTCGCGGGGGCGGAAAAAGGAGGTGTGACATTAATGATTGAAGAAAACTAGTTAAAAATGACTTACAATTGATATGGAGAAGGAAGGTTGTTTGAAAAATCGCCTCTTATGTTTTTGGGGTTTTGAAAAATGAAAAATGACTGAAAATCCTGTCTATTTATACGCCTCTCAGACCCCCTGTACAGACCGCACAAAATGGACTATGGCCGCATAGGTCTCCACCGCGCTCCGCACGAAACCGATCGCGGACCGCACTGCAGCGCCCTGTGCGGACCGCACAAAGCCAACCTCGGCCGCACAGCCTTCACCGCACACCGCACAAGGTCGACCGCGAACCGCACTGGTGGGGTTGAGAGACCTGCAACTTCTGGTTTTAAGCCTAAAACATCCCGGAACCTACCCGAAACTCACCCGAGCCCTCGAAACTCACCCGAGCCCTCGAAACTCCAAACCAAGCACACGTACTAACTCAACAACATTATACGAACTTATTCGTGCGATCAAATCGCCAAAATAACCTCAATAACAATGAATCAAACCTCAAAATCAAGAACTTTTTCTCAAACTTCATCAAGTATCAAATTTAGCAATTTAGGTCCGAATCACGTCAAACGACGTCTTTTTTCAACCAAACTTTATAGAAATGACTTAAACCATATCTAAGGCCTGTACCGGGCGCCAGAACCAAAATACGGGCCCGATACCATCATGTTCTAAGCAAATTTCATTTCAATTTTCCTTAAACAGTTTCAGAAAATAATTTCTTTTAAAAAATTCATTTCTCGGGCTTGGAACCTCGGAATTCGATTCCGGGCATACGCCCAAGTCCCACATTTTCCTACGGACTCTCCGGGATTGTCAAATCAAGAGTCCGGGTCCGTTTACCCAAAATATTGACCGAAGTCATATTAACTCATTTTATAATTAAATTTTATCATTTTTCACAGGATTTCATATTTAAGCTTTTCGGCTACGCGCCCGGACTGCACACCCAAATCAAGGTGACTTTAAATGAGGTTTTCAAGGCCTCAGAATACGGAGTTTCATTTTAAAACAAGTGATGACCATTTTGGGTCATCACAATATTTTTCTGTTTAGTATACGAAAAAAGTTACTTTACGCTTCAAAGCCTTTATTTAATTCTAAATTATTATTTACGAAAAAGGGTAAAAACTGCCCCTAGACTATTGGAGTTGGTACAATAATGTCCTCCGTCCACCTATTTTAAAAAAATTGCCCTCGCCATTATCTTTTCGGCTCAAGAATGCCCTTACGATTAACGGCCATGATAGATAAAAAATATTTAATTAATACCACGTGTCATAACGGAAAAAGGTCAGAACTATCCCTAGACTATTGGAGTTTGTACAATAATACCCCCATCTCAAAAAATCTCTCTCCTCCACCCTTCCCCCCTCTAGCGTGTATGTGTTCATATTCTTCTTGTTCTTCTCATCCTTTTTTTGACCTTGCACTCTATTTGAATAATCACTACAAACATCATTAAAGTTTTATCTTCAGACAACCAAATTTTTTTTGTCACCAATACTTTACGTCATACAACTTTCAAAGACTCTGTTAGGCAAAAAAAAATTAATTAATTTCCATGTGTCATCGTTCCATTGGCCTAACTTAAGACTCACCTAAATTAAAATAAACTCACCCATATTCTAAGACCCTTTTCCTCCGTTTCTTTCTCCTCTTTCTTTTAAAAATTATTCCACCAACTAGACCTATCATACACCCATTTTTTCCCTAAGCAAACAAAACTCTCTTGTATAGTTAATCACCTTCCTCTTCCTATTTCTTTGTATATTAAATATACACATCAATAGTCACACAATAAGCTCAATCAAGTGTTTATTATAGTCACATTCACCAATAAGTCGTATTCTCTCATATTCTCACGCATATGATCTCAAATATTTCTCTTGATTTAACCGTCTCTTTTTTAAAATTGGCGGTGTTGATATAACCTGAAGAGCATCCTCTTACAATAGCTTAATTTATGGACATGGTTGGATGTTCAGACTATGGTGAGCCAATGAAGAAGAAGAAAAAGGTCGAGGTCCGAGCAGATGTAGACATGTAATTTTTGACTCGCATAGTTTTAAAGTTAGTTTTAGTATCTTTATGTTTTAAAATATCTACTTGAATTATTATGTAATTTTAGCCTATTTTATTTTTAATTTCAAATCAAATTAAAAAAAAATAAAAAAAGAAGAAGAAAATTTCAATTTATCTTATTAGATATGCGTGTTTTTGTTTTTATTTTTTTTATTTTTTTTAAGTTCATGAGTTTTTTTATAGTAGTATTATGCTAAGTTTGCCATGGTTTTTATATTTTATTTTTAGTATAATCCTTGAAAAATACAAAAACTAATAATAAATATATATATAGTTTCATGTTTTACCTTATTTCTATTTAGTTTAGGCTATTAAGATTTTTATAGTCATATATTTTGTTTTTACCATGATTTTCACTCTTATTTCGAATATAATAATTCATATAAAAAATATATTGTTTCGTAGTATGATATGTTTTACTTTAATTAATTATAATTAATTTTAAATTATTTTTTAAAAGAAAAGTTCAAGTTTCTAATTATTGGACTTAAAAGAGTTAACCCACTAAATTTGAGCCCAATTGCCCCAAAATTACCCCCAAATCCGCCCAAGTAGCCCAACCCAGCTGACCCGTCCGCTTAACCTGCTGAACCGCCCCATTTCTTTTTTAAATCCTAGCCATTCATTCTATCTTATCCAACAGCCCTTATTTCTTCTCTACTTAATATATAAACCTAATATTAAGAAACCTTAAACCTAAAAACTCATCCTAGATCAGCCGCATCCACCCCTCTCTCATCTCACTTCTGCCCAACCCAGCCACCACAAACCCGCCGAAAATCACCAAAAATCCGGCACTCCACGTAAGCATTGGTCCCCTATGGTCCCCCCTTCCCTTCGTTTCATCTTCCACGTAGCAAAATCCCAACGAATCTCATCATTATTGACGTATTTTCTTGCTCTCTAAGTTGGAATCGAATAAATGGAGGTCGTAGATTGAATCACTGTCAATCTAGACCCTCCATTTGTTCGATCTCGAATTATATAAGAGAGAAATCAGACAGAAATTTGGAGGAGGAAGCTGGAGAAAGAAGTGAAGGTTTACGAAAAAAAATTCTTCTTCTGTTTTCATCTTCATTCTCAAATTTTTAGACATAATTTAATTTCGAAAAAATACAAAAATAAAAATAGTGAGTTTAGATTTTTGTTAGAACTTGTTTCCATTTCGAAAAATCAGAAAATATTCCAAAAAATATTTTAGTTTCTTCTTTTCTTAAATTTTGTTTTAACATGGAGATTGATTGAGCCGAGATCGAGTTCGCCGTTCGAGTTCGAGTTCGAGTTCGTTGGTTTTTGCATCCTGTCGCATTGTAGCTGTTGTCCTCTTTGGATTTTCATTTCCAGATTCACTTGTCTTCGATTGAAAGCAGAATTAATCAAAATTCCCATCTATCAGGTTCATACCTCCCTCTTTTCTATATCTCTGCGTAAAGATGCGATCGAATATGACGAGAGCCTAAAATAAGCCATTAGAATTTGTTTGAATCTTAAAAAATGGTTTAAGTTTAAGCGTTAATCAAAACAAATTGTTGGATTTTGATTGATGAAGAATTTGGATGAATTTTCTTTGGTATGTGCATCTGCTCTGTTTCGTTTATGTGTTTAGATCTCCTATAATCTCATATCTGACTGATTCCAATATGCTCGACTGAAGTTGGAATTGGCTGGTAGTTGTATGGATTATTGAAATGTCGTATTGTTGTTAGTTTTAGTTCGACTAGTCCCCTTGATGTTTGCAATGTTTTCCTGTTAGTGTCGGTGGGCGTAAAACTGTTCTTACCTGTTGAAACTTAGAGGTTTAATCATAGGGTTTGCTTGATTTTGAACATGACAATGAGAGCATGAAACATTGCAGTTGAGTTGGTATTAGTTTCTGTTTGAATAGGCTCTCATGAGAAGAATGCTGGAGTCCTCTGTTCATTATTTGATTAGCTTGAGGCATGTTGAAGTCTATCTTGTTTGCTTAAAGTGAAACCTGTCGAAAACTCTAATTGGTTTGTAATTGTTAATAAAGTGTGAGGCCATCACGTCACTGTTTGTCATTGCCACTGATGTTCCTGTTTGTGAGATTAAGTGTAAACTCGAAACAGATTAAATTATCTTTCAATATTTTCTACCCTTAACACAAAGTGTCGATAAGGTTGAGTAATCCCTAGCGACTCCTTATACGTATATCTAAGCGTAAAGATTGGTACGTTTATTTGAATTAGCTTCCCGGCGCTTTTGATTGCTTTGTTGAATCTGGTCCTTGCTCTCCTTGCATTCCTGATTATTAGGAAGTGATCTGCTTGAGAACTTTATTGTTTATTGTAGGATAAGAGGAAATGAAAAAGATTTTGTGTGTAATTGAGCTCCTATTGAGGACATGATTCCATTTACCACCTGATAATTACTGAAGAATCTATTAAGTACTATGGATAGCAGTAGAACATGCATTTGTTCAATGAGGTTTAAAGCTTTAATTATTAAGCTGATTATGTGTCGAAATTGTTGTTTTCCACTTGTTTGTGTGATAAGTTGGTCTATATCACATTCTGTAACGAGTTTGGGGTCTCTCTTTCTGTTAGTTAACCAGGTGACCGTGCATGGTGGCTAGTTTAAATCTTGTTTGATATGCTAGATTGAATGTGACTTATCTTATCTTCGATTTCTATTTATCACATTAAGCAAATTTAAACATGAAATGTTCTGCTGAATTTTCTTTTGTTGCTTTTCAAACATGCCCAAGTTGTCATTCTTGAAATTTTGATTTTTCAAGAGTGTGAAAATCAAATGAATGCTGAAAGTTCAAAATGAAATCAATGCTTTAAAAGTTTGAAATAATCTCATGCTTCCGTTTGTCTAACATAAGGATATATGGTGTTAATGGAGTCTTCATGATAAAAATGCGAGGGAATTGATTCTGTGGATAGAATGGAGGAGGAGGAGGATATATGATTTAATGATTTTCACATAAGATCCGTGTAGGTGAGATTTGGGGTGAGGTAGAGTCGGAAAACGAGAGGCACGTCTGAATAGGGATTAGGCAACTAAAGTTAGATTTGCTCTTGTCATGCTTTGATCTGCTGCTTGATTTATTTTATTTTATTATTCTTGTCTGGTTCATTGAGTTGCTATGTTTTCTTTCATGTGTCTACTATGTTGAGTGCTATCCTCGTATGTAGATAATTTGAATCAAGTATTTTAGATCACTATCTTATGGGTCGCGGGAGGTAGGAGAAATTAAAGAATTTAAAACAGAAAATTCAGCAGGCTATTAATTTAGTTTAACTTAGTTTTCTTTCACATTATTTTATTGTTTTGACTAGTAAGAGCATGCTTAGGCCGACCATACTTGGGTAGGCAAATCTCAAGTTTTCTTTATTTTGATTTTCGAGGCAAGAGGTCGTTTCTTTAGTTCATTATCTGGGGAATGCCCTGTGTGATTTGTATATATTTTTCGGAGTATGCCCCGAAGTACTTGTATTTGGAGGCCTAAAGTAGAATGCGTAGTATTTTGTTTTTATTTTTATTTTTATTTTTATTTTTATTTTTATTTTTTCTTTTATTAGTTGGGGACGACCTCGAGCCTCTTGTGTGTTTATTTTATTTCTGTGTGTTTTACCTCAATTTGAATGTATAAAAGCCAACTAGATCGAGTACGCAACCATGATCTTCACGGGACTTGGGGACTGCCTAACACCTTCTCTCCGAGTCAAATGAACCCCCTTACCCGAATCTCTGGTTCGGACTTGGTTTTAGAGTTTGAAAGGTTTTAAAAGGAAAAATCATTTTTTTACAAAAAAAAAAGATGACCTGGCACACCGAAACTAATATCAGGTGGCGACTCTGAGTTATTTCCTTTTGAACACAATTTTTGTCACGTTCTAATTGAAAAACCCTTTTCAAGCTTTACTAAATCTTTTTATCTATTTAAGAGGGTTTAGTGAAGTAGAGGTTTGTTTAAAAAGGGGGGTGTGACATCTCTGGAGACTCTGCTGGGGACTTGCAGGTTCGAGCTAGTACTTGATTTTGTTGGCTTTTAGAATATTTGGTTGAGGTTTTTATGCTTTTTCATTAGCTTTACTTAATTTTTATTATGTTTTTATATCTTGTTATTTGCTAGTTGTTTATGTGTTTACAGCTTTTGCTTTATTTGTTTATTGCTTTATAACTGTCATCATATGCATTACCCAGTCACTTCTTTCCGCAACAAGTCTCGGAGCACGCATAGCGTGCACGAACTCTTTGTTGAGTCACCCTTGATTTAGGAGGGGGGGGCGTCGGACGTATAGAGTGGGTGGAAAGCTTGAGCAGCCACCATCGACCATACGATCCCCCGAATTGCTTGGTTAGTGAACCCCAAACTTAGGTCAACCTTTAGGTCATTTTTATTTACATCATGTCATTTAGACCTAGTAGGGCTCGGTCCCAGGTACTGTGTCCCTTTGTAGGAAGTCTATCCAAATTTTGTCAAAATGGGCTCGTGGCCCAAAATGACATTTAATCATCCTATGTGCTAAATGTTGCATCTGTGAGGGTAAAAAGGTCATTTGATGGACCGATGCTTGGGAAAGAATGGTGAAAATGAAGAAAGTAGGGCCCACTCACATTTTTTTCATAGTTTTCCAAAAATCAAAATGAAAATGAAAAAAATCCGGAAAAAAAAAGAAAAAAGATTTTACATTTTCCATCATTTTCCCAAAAATTCAAAAAGGGAGAAAAAGAAAAATCCAAAAAAAAAAGAAGAATAATATTTTTCAATTTTCATCAAAAATACAAAAAAAATGGTTTTTCCAAATTAGTTGCATTTTTTTAAAGGCTTCATCCCATGTTTAATCTTCCCGAACTACGCAAACCTGATTCTCGTCTTTCGAGATGTGATACGTAGGCAACCCACATAGGGTCCGGTATTCCTAGTAGGTCCTAGGTTCTTGGCTTCCGGGGTCGTAGCCAAATCTTGCATGTCTAGCCACTTTTGGCCACATCGGCCATTTTTGCAAAATAGGGTTATTTTCGCAAGAGTGGCTCAATTACCCATGTCTTAGGATCTTGAGTTTATAACTCGGTGTCATATCACTTTAAGGTCCATCCATGTCGTGTTTGCGTCCCTAGTCGCATTTGGTTGCATCGGCCATTTTTGCACAAAAAAGGGGTCCATTTCCGTAAAGTAATTTTTAAGACCATGATTGTCGGGATATTAGAGTCATGTAAGCTTTAAATGGAGTATTTCTCATTCATTATGGGTCAACTTTGTCAAGTTTGCGCTAATAGCCACTTTCAGCCACTTAGGCCATTTTGTAAATATAGCCAAGTTGTGTCCTGCATTTGTCCATTAGGAAATATGGTGGGGTCACGTAGTGCCCCGAGTCGCTAACCATGTTTGCTTCATTCAGGTATGGACCCGCTGATTCGATCCAAAGTGCTGATGGTAGTAAAGATTCCTAGGAAGTTGATCAAGTGGTGGAAAATGTCTTCATCGTTAGAGCAACATGAGTTAATGCAGAAATTGGGCACCCTAACTTCCCTTCTTGATATCACACCCCGCCCAGATTTAGTGGAGGCGATGCTGACTTATTGGGATCCGCAAAATTTGATTTTCAGATTTGGAGAGTGTGAGATGACTCCTACCTTGGCGGAAATGTCTGGTCTCACTCGTTTAAGCTATATAGGCAAGGACATGATACTTCCCCGAGACCACTCTAGGACAAGATTCCTCAGCGACCTGGGCTTGAAAGATAACAAGCATTTAAAATGCCTCAAGCAGTCCTGGATATCTTTGGATTATTTGTTTACTAAATTTGGACCACAGGATAGTTTTGACGTCTTTTGGGATGAGTTTTGCACAACCAAGGCAAAATGGCAAAAACGTCGCCTCAAAGCTTTCAGCCTTGACTTGTTGGGATTATTGGTTTTTCCATTAGATGAGAGGCATATCAGCACCCGTCTACAGTCAGTGGTAATGGTACTATTTCATGAGAAGCAATGCAAAATCGTTACCGTTGTACCGATGATCTTAGCAGAGTTGTACCGAGCCCTGAGTGAGGTTAGGGGAGGTGTCAGGTATTTTGAAGGAAGTAACCTTTTGCTACAATTGTGGATGATGGAGCATTTGCACACCGCTTCCTTACTTTATTCCATCGACCGTGCCTTGAGGGATCGGGTGGTATGCATCGAGCGTAGGATGAAATATCCTAAGTTTACATACCCAGTAGGCGTCACAACTTGGATTGAGTTCCTTGGTTTGAGGACAAATGGGAATGTTTTATGGGCTTATTTTTGGCTACCTTTGGACCATATCTTGGTAGGATGCCTCATGCAGCCTTTCCTGATGCTGATAAGACTCAAGTGTGTCAGGTCGTACACTCCTGTTAGGGTAATGCGACAGTTGGGAAGAAGACAAGAGGAGCCTCCAACTTTGAATATTCGGAGGCACATCATAAATTTTAGCAAAAAGGTGGATGATGAAATCAGGTATGTGCAATACTGGAACAATGCAAAGAGGATGAAGAAAAATACATTAGTAGAGGACGTTGGCAGGCCCGAGTGTACTCAAGAGTACTTGATTTGGTTACAGTCTGTCCCACCAGGGGTCAGCACCCCATTGCCAGCACAACTTAGGGGTCGGGCAGTTCATACAGATGATTTTGAGGAGGCATCGGACCAAGATCCCTGGGATAAGCTTGAGTTGATAAAGTCTTAGTTGGCGGGATTGGTAGCAAACGTGGAGAAGCATGGCAAATATTTGTTTAGGGTCGGCCTTCAGGATGCGGGGGCACACGCCAGGGCCTTTATTCCCAGTATCGGTGTTTCTTTACGAGGCATGTTACAGAGTTTGAGCATGACGGACAGCCTAGGACCATCCCGATCAGGACAGTCACATTCAACAGCAGCTTGAGGAGTCATTCTATTTAGGTGTTTGAGATTGTCTTATGTTGTCTTTTACTTTCGTGCCTTGTCTAGAAGTATCGAGTCCTTTAGGTAGTGTCAGAGTCTGTCGTAGTGTAGTTGGGTCTGTCAGGTCTTTTATTATCGTATTTCCCTTTGTATTTTAATATCGAAAAGTTTTAAATGAAAAATCCCAAAATGATTTTGTTTTAGTTTATTTTCCATCACCTTTCCAAAACTACGCTTGGTCTGATTCATGAGGGACATGATACGTAGGCAACCTACAGCGGGTTCGATCAAATCATTTTGGTTTCAAAAATAAAAAGAGAAAGAAAAAGAGAAAAGGGTGATAAGAAGAGTTGGAAAAGAAAGAGAAGGAAGAACTGAAATGAGCAAATCGGGATGATGCCATATGACCCTGCGACCCTCAAAGCCATTTTAGAATCGTTAATCGTTGCTAGGTGCCTTGCACGTAATGTGATATTATTATTTGATAAATACCCTAATGCTAACATGGTGGTTTCGTGTTATTGTCCTCTGTTATCTTTATCAGAGTTTCAGGAAGGTGGTTAGTTTGTTGGCATCCTGGCAAGTCATCCATACAACACCCGATCAAAGCGTCAAACAGTCATGGCTAGCAAGGAAACATACACTGGAGTTGTAGACCCACCAAGGGAGATTGTTGAGTCGGAATCAGAACTGCAAGAGGAGGTCCGGAGGTTGAAGCATCAAATGGCAGAAATGTATCAAGCCTGGATTAAGGGACACCCTCCACCCTCGTTCCCTACCAACTACACAGAAAACCCTACTTCCATTCCCCCACTCTCTCAATCCCAGATGCCCAATACCATTGATCTTTCCCCACAACACGCACCTGGCTTTACCCCTTACCACAACTACCTCGGCACTTCAGCCCAAACTGTTCATGCTCCGCCGGCCAAAACAACCTTGTACCCTGCTCCGATATCTGCTCCTATTTTTGTACCCCCTCCACAAGCTACCCTCCACCGATCCTCTAGTGATCCCGCATTCCCCGCTACAGATGCCCACTACAATGCACCGGAGCCCACCTTCAAAGTCCCAGATCCTTACTCTTACACTCCCCAATTTGAGCCTCATGTTGAAACTGACAAACTACCCAAGAACGCAGAGCAAGAAGAGATGTTTAGGAAAGTACAGAGTTTGGAGCAATCATTGAGAAATGTGCAAGGGTTGGGAAACCAAGTGAGTGTGGCCTATAAGGATTTGTGTTTGTTCCCCGATGTCCAATTGCTTGCCAGGTTCAAGATGCCCAAGTTTGACTTATATGACGGACATAGGGATCCTGTAGCTCATTTGAGAGGTTATTGCAGTAAAATAAGAGGCGCCGGGGGAAAAGACGAATTACTGATGGCATATTTTAACCAAAGTCTGAGTGGGGCAGCTTTAGATTGGTACACCCGCCAGGACGCCAGCAGGTGGTACACCTGAGACGATATGGCTCAGGCCTTTGCCCGGCACTTTCAGTACAATTAAGACATTGTTCCAGACCGCCTATCTCTGACCAAGGTGGAAAAGAAACCTAGTGAAAACTTTAGAGAATATGGGTTCCGATGGAGGGAGCAAGCTGCACGAGTCAATCCTCCGATGGAAGAGGACGAGATGGTTAAATACTTTCTTCAAGCCCTGGAGCTCACTTACTATTGCCACTTGATCTCAGCCATTGGTAAGTCTTTCAATGATGTGGTGAAGATGGGAGAAATGGTGGAAGAGGGGCTCAAGTCGAGTAAGATCATGAGTTATTCTGCTATAAAAGCAACCACCCAGGCAATCCAGAGTGGTACCGGAAGTTTGCTAGGCAAGAAGAAGAAGGAAGATGTCGTTATGGTTGTCTCTGGATCATGGCATGGCCAAAGGGGTTTACCTCATCAATACACCCATCCTCGACCCCGACCTCAAGCCTACGCCCAAGCTCTATATAATCCACCTCAACATTACTTTTCCCCGCAAAACCCCCAATACTCAGTCAGGCCATCCCAATACCTTGTTCACCATGCACATTTATATGCTCAACCCCCTCCTTACCCGCAATGGCATGCTCCAGCTCCGCAGAATACCTATCCAGCTACACAAAATACCTATCCACCTCCACAACCCTACCAAAACCCTACTGTATCAAACTTTCGATCGAGGCCGGAGTATAGAAGAGAGAGGCAGCAGCGAAAGCAAACTTTTACCCCGTTTGGAGAGTTTTATGCTAGTTTGTTTCAACGGTTAAGGCAGTTGGACGTCTTGAGGCCGATTGAGTCAAAGATACCAAATCCCCCTCCAAAGAACCTCGACTATTCCTTAAGATGTCCCTATTGTTCTGATGCTCTAGGGCATGACATAGAGAAGTGCTGGTGTTTGAAAACGGCAATCTGGGAGCTTATTGATACCAACCAAATTGTAGTCCAAAGCCCAGACGCACCGAACATCAACCAAAACCCTTTGCCAGCCCATGTAGAGACGCATTTATTTGAAATAATTCACAAGGACGGGGAGCCCAGGAAGTCTTCTAAGTCCGTCATGATGATTCGGGCCAGTGAAAGTAATTTGGTCAAAGCTCCTGACTCTACCAAAGCGAAGCCCTTGATAGTTGAAGGGGTGACAGAAAAGCCGAGCTCACTCAATTTGAAACCACCACTATTGGTCGTGAAAGGGCTGTCAAAAGATGTTAGGGAAAGTCCGGAATGTTCAAAAGTGGTAGTACCAGGGATTCCAAGTAAGCCTGTCATTGTTGTGAAGGGGGCCCCTTCTACCTCTATCATCATTAAACCAGTAACCCAGCTTCTAGTGGTGGATGCCAAGGTTGTTCCGTGGAATTATAAACAAGCGATAGTGACATACAAAGGAAAATAAGTAGAGGAAGAAATTAATGAAACTGGGGGATTGACTCGTTCTGGGAGATATTTCACCCCAGAAGAATTAAGGAGAGCCAAGCCATTCAAGGATAGCCCAATGCCAGTAAAGAAATCGGTCACCGAGGAAGAGGCTGAGGAGTTCCTGAAAAAGATGAAAGTGAAGGATTATTCCATTGTGGAGTAGTTTAGGAAAACACCAGCTCAGATTTCTCTTTTGTCTTTATTGATACATTCAGATGAACATCGCAAGGTTTTGATGAAGATTTTAAATGAGGCACACGTTCCTGATAAGATCACAGTGAACCACTTGGAAAAGATAGCTGGCAAGATCTTCGAAGCAAATAGGATCACTTTCTCGGACGATGAACTTCCTACCTATGGAGGGTACAGAACACAACCGAGCTCTTTATCTCACCGTGAAGTGTGAAAATTCTGTTGTCTCAGGGGTTTTGATTGATAATGGCTCTAGTGCGAATATTTGTCCACTGTCTACTCTACAAAAACTGAAGATTGGCACCGAAAGAATCCACTTGAACAGTGTGTGTGTTCGAGGCTTTGATGGGGGAGGTAAAGATTCTGTTGGAGATATAATGCTCGAATTGTCGATAGGGCCTGTTGAGTTTACCATGGAATTCCAAGTGTTAGATGTGGCTGTCTCCTACAATCTGTTATTAGGCAGGCCCTGGATACATGCTGCTAAGGCAGTCCCATCTTCTCTGCACCAAATGGTGAAGTTTGAATGGGATAGGCAGGAAATAGTCGTGCACGGTGACGAGGACTTGTCAGCTTGTAATGATACAATTGTTCTGTTAATCGAAGCTGAAGATGATAAGGGACCTTGGGTCTATCAGACTTTCGAAATAGTGTCTGTTGAGAAAATTCCTGAAGGAAAATGCATTCCGGGTCCTAAGCTATCCTCCGCGTCCGTCATGGTTGCAAATGAAATGTTGAAGAATGGTTTTGTGCCGGGCAAGGGTTTGGGCTCATCTTTGCAGGGTATTGTGCATCCCAGTGGGAATCCTGGTACATCTGGTTTGGGATTCATGCCCACAGAGAAGGACGTGAAAAGGATTAAAAATCTGAAACAGAAGGTATAGTCGCTCCCCAATCTCGTCCCACACATCTCTAAGTCTTTGTTAATCTAGGGGCCGAAAAACCTCCAACCTCCTCAATCCCAAAACCCGTGGTCGATGTTGATGAAGAGCTGATCAAGAAGTTCCAAAGTCTGTTCGAAGATGTCAATATGGTAGAAGTTAGTGAAGGCTCTAGTAAAGCAGATGTGCAGCTCGTTGTCCCAAATGTGAAGCTTAGCAATTAGGAAGCTACTCCTCTCCCCACCAGGAAGGAGTTTTGGTAGTTTGCTTTGTTTTCCTTTCTGTTATCTGGGTTATTCCAGGGTTGTAATCCAGATTTTTAGTTTTTGCTTGTTTTGATGTTCAAACCCTTCTATCATTTTATTTCAATGAAATGCAATTTTCCGTTTTCCATTATTCTTAATAGTGTTTTATATTGTTCTTTTTTCTTTTGTACAGTTCTTTTTATGTTGGTTGATGTGATATGACATGCATGAAGAGTTTTCAGCCGAGTCTTAAAAGCCAATCTAATTTTGAAATAACAATCCAAGAAGTAGAATATGATGAAGAAGCAGCATTTGAGGAAATCAGTAAAGAGCTAAAACAATTTGAATAAAAACCAAAGCCTAATTTGAGTGAGACTGAAGCAATCAATTTATGGGACCAGGATGATGTTAGGGAAACCAAGATAAGTGTGCATTTAGAACCGCAAGTTAAGGAGGAAATAATCAAAACATTGTTTGAGTACAAAGATGTCTTTGCATGGTCATATGACGATATGCCGGGCTTGAGCACTGATCTGGTAGTTCACAAATTGCCAATTGATCCAGCATTCCCTCCTATCAAGCAAAAGTTGTGAAAGTTCAAGACTGATATAAGTGTGAAGATCAAAGAAGAAATCACAAAGCAGCTTACTGCAAAGGTCATTCGAGTCACTCGATATCCCACTTGGTTAGCCAATGTTGTGCTAGTACCAAAGAAGGATGGTAAGACCAGGGTCTGTGTTGATTATCGTGATCTTAACAAATCAAGCCCAAAGGATGATTTTCCATTGCTGAACATTCACATTCTGATCAATAATTGTGCCAAGCATGAGATTGGGTCTTTTGTGGACTGTTACACGGGATATCACCAGATCTTGATGGATGAGGAAGATGCAGAAAAGACAACATTCATCACGCCATAGGAAACATACTGTTATCGGATAATGCCATTTGGTTTGAAGAATGCTGGGGCAACTTACATGAGGGCGATGAC